ATTACTATTTTTATTATCACTATTAGTATGAAAAATATAAGTAGTATATTATATATATTAGACGCAATCGAAATGATGAATAAATCAGCAAAGGTTTCGGTTAGCAGTAATACGCATGTTTAAATTGTGACGAAATTGTTACGAATGCATGTCACCACGTCATTTGATATGCTTGAACTAGTACGAGTTTACCTTAGTCGGAAAACGAGAGCGAGGATCTAGGATCCGGTGACATGACAGGCTACTGTGTCCCAAAGCCCAACTGAGTAAAAGAAGAAGACTTGATATGAAGTGGAACATGTATTCTACAAGCATCCAGAAAGTAAGAGGTCCGAGTCGAGAAGAGGATAAGCATCCAGGACGAAGGATCCGGATCCTAAAACGTTACAGATAATACATGTTTATACAGTTAGGTCGCATAGGAAACAACATTGATGTATGTGACATTGATAGTTAGGACCACCAGTAGAAATTGACCGATAAAACTAGAATTTTAGGATATCGGATGAATATCCTAACAGAGATAGTTAAATTTTCACAGTTCTTGACCAATTCAGTCCCATTCATCATTTGACTAGGGTTTTTTTAAGTGACTAATATATGTATCATTAGTCAATCGGATAGGTAATTCAGACTGGAAATATTTTGCTTGATACTTGTGCATAAATCTAGAAATAACATCGAAAACTGTTTCATAACTAACTGATATAAGTTGTTTAATGATCAAGTATTTAAAAAATAGAATTGGGAGAACAACAGCACGCAAATTTAAACTGAAAGTATTTTAGACACATTCACTTGAAACAGACTATTAATTAATTTAGCATGAAAGGGTCGTGAAGATTGCTGAGTTACTTTCTGAAATCATAAATTGATCGATCTTAGATCTTGGCCAAACACCGACTGCCTCGACGAGCTATGTTTTGTGGTGTAGGAGTTGGTTGGAAGAAAGCTAGGGGCAGCCAAACCAAAACATGACAGAAATCCATGAAGTCACTGACTAGTGGACTGAGTCATGTTGGTAGATGTAGACTACCTGGTTGGGGTCCGCGAGACGACAGTCACCAATGGTTATAGACCTTGAAAATCGTTTGCAATGGCGCAGTTGCATCCATTCTTTGAGCTCTCTAAAATCCCAAACTTCTGGATTCGTCAACACCTCTACCTTTGTCTTTCTAACCTTATTTCACTGAATTATACTTATTGAATAATATCTTCGAACCCTATTCTTCTTCATTACCATTAATACCTCTACTATCTTTATCACTATGGGATTTGATTTGACATTTGCGTCTTTGTGCTAATGTGGTATGGCAACATGAACTTATGTACATACGTACGTAGTTCTACGTTGCAACTGACTGACGATCTTAGATCATAATTAGAAAACTGGAAGCACTGAGAGTCGGCCTTGCTCAGAGGTCTGGAGTCTAGATGTTCGCGTTCAAGACCGAAAGTCCTGAGCTCGAATCCTGCGAGGTACTATTGTCATGGAAGCGCACTGCTAATGAGTCCCATATCAGGACTTAATCGCCGTTCAGTGCTTTCAGGTTTCTATTGGTGGTCTAACATTTACCAGTTCATGATTTCAATGAGACTCGGCAATCTACACAGCCCTATAACGAAAAAAATATGTTAAGTGAATATTACTTTCACAGTTCGAGACTGAACAGACGAACTCGAATCAAGTGTGTTTCACTTCAAATGTTCAACGCCTTATCCTTTTTAATAATGTCGTCATAATTATGAATGAAATTATGTTGATCAGATAGACAAGTCCTTTTATTTTTAAGGAGGATTATTTACAATATGTAAATATATGACATATTGAAATCATGTTTAACATGTTTTCAACTATCCCTAATGTTTTTCTAATAAAGAAATAAACAGTTTACAAATAAAGCTCATTTTAAAAGATAAATACTTTTATTTAGAATATGAATAAGTAAATACCAAGTTTAAAACATTTTAGGTTAAATGGCCTGAAATAGAAATAGCTGATTAACATTTACAATGATTTTTATTTTATCCACATCATGAATTCATAATGAAGTTCGTTTTGAAAAAGATGAGCGTTCAGTTAAATCCTATTGGGAAAGTTATACAAACTTGTAAATAGCAGAACACCTTCACATTTCATGCAAAATAATTCAGCTTTTTCTTATATATTAATAACACGCTATTTAATATTTGATGATTCCTTCTAATTTCTTCCATGTCAAATGACACATCGATCGTTCAGTGTTCAATGTCAACAAGAATTTTATGTCACTTATAAGTTTTATATTTACTAATAAATTACACTTTACAAGTTGTTTTTATAATATTGTTTTTATGAAAATGAAGTTAATTTAAAAGTAAAATACATTTACACTCAAATTAAAAAAAAAATACGAACGAAAAAAATATTTCACAGTTGATCATTCAACAAATACATTCGTCTGTTGAACATTGAACAAAAAATTTGGCAACCTATCATGTCAGATGTGATTTAAATGGCAATTTGATCGATAGAACTCGACCAACACTAAATGGAAGCGATATTGATTACAACTAGATGATAGTCTGATAAATTAGTTTGCTTTTTTTTTCTCTAGAACGACAGAGAGAAAAAAACAGCCTACTATCTGGAATTCACACCAAATGAACTTGCGTTCTATTGATTTTTGGTGAATTAAAAAAATTGGAAAAAAAAGAAGGATATGCTAATGTGTTTATCCTTGTATGTTAAAAATTTGTTTGTACACACTGAACAATTGGCAGTTATTGAACATTGAACAAAACATAATGACAATCTTGCTTCCTTTTTTTTTTTGCAATACCATTAAACTTTAAGTGATATCATATTTTATTAGATATGTGCTAAAAGAGTTGAAACTGTATAATGCAATAATACTGAACTGAAATTGAAAATATACATAGATTGCATCAATCATTTGACAAATTGCCATGCTATTTGAGGGAAAATATCATAAAATCTGTTTGAACTACGTTGTGAACAAACTTATCTACAATAGTACATTGAAGACAGTATGAGTTTAAGGAATATCAATGACTTTTTCGAACACAAACAACTAAACAGTTGGTTGAAATACACTACATTGTAAAACGGTAGTTATAAGTAGTTGACAGTGAGCCCTGCCCAAACATTGAATGGTAAACAACATTATGTATGTCAAATCTTTTATTGGCGCCGACACGAAGCATTAATACTGATATATCTTGATGATAAGTGCCAAACTGCACGAAACCTAGGTCTAGGATTCCTGTCGACTACCTCCAATCACCTCAAAATATCTCAGCAAAGTGAAAACGATATTAAATTACTGAAACTAGTGTCCATAATGAGATTTCATTAGCTTAACTCGTCAAATATTAAATAGGGACTTGATAAACATGACCATTGTCCACTACTCAGTGATCCCACTTTTGTACGAAATCTAATCAATGAGGTGAAACATCTTATGTTTAATGAATCATCGTGTACGGAACGCAGTCATTAGATAGTTATAATTTTTGTGAAAGCTTCTCAATTTAATCCAACCAATTTGCATTCTTATCGTCCAGTGAGTGAATCAAAGTCTATCTGTCTATGTAATCTTATCAGAAAAATTAATCATCATATGCCCCTATTCATCTGATAAATACTAAGGTTATGTCAACAAAATATGTCAGGCTATGTAATCAAAATAAGGTCAAAAGTATGAAACTGAACTAAACACATGTTTCAAGATAGTGAAGTTAAAAATTATTACAAATTGATACAAGCCAATCATATTCTATGATTAATAAACCCTAGAAAAAAAAGATTTTCTTGACTAGTATTATTGATTAAATCGATGTTGGTTGACTTTTCCGACAAGTACTGTTTGTACTTTTCAACATAGTGTGTATACCTTGAAAATTGAAATTCACATTACTATCTACACTGGTTCAATATTCAATATCCTTCAACTTCAATTTACTTGTGTGAATTATTTAAAAATGAATATATCTATTTGAAATCATCAATCAATAATTGTTAGACCAGAACATTAGAAACCTGGAAGCACTGCACGACGGCCGTTTCGTCCTGGTATGGGACTCATCAGCAGTGCGCATCCACGACTCCTGCTCCTCGCCTACAATGCCAAAGGTCCCGGGTTCGAATCCTGCGAGGTGCAGGAGTCGTGGATGCGCACTGCTGATGAGTCCCATACCAGGACGAAACGGCCGTCGTGCAGTGCTTCCAGGTTTCTAATATTGTGGTCTAACAATGATTGATTGATGATTTCAAATGTGAATATATCTATATTGATGTTTAAATAAATGTCATGCAGTTTTTATTTATACGTGTTAAATAAGAAAACAATAATCTCTGTGTAATAATAAAGTTTTTTTATACAACAGTGATTACTGAGTAAGTAATAATTACAAGCGCTGTGATTTCTTTACTTATTCGACGGGAAATAAGCATAAACAAACCCTTTTTCATATATATATCAATCAAGAATTATATAAACATTGAGGTCATTGTTGTAAATGAAATTAACACGCTACTAGTCGGATTATTTGTTAAAGAATACTACTCTCACAGAAAAAAAGATTAGTGTAACTCAATGTAAAAGAAAGAATATCAAACTGTATGTAGATGAGTAATTTTATTTTAAGCATTGAACAATAAATAAATCCACATCTAATCCAACCAACCAACCAATGATCAACAATCGCACGGATTGAAAGTTTTTAAGTTTAAATATAATTTACTTATCTAATCAATAAATAAATTTTGAATATGCTGGATTAGTTGGTATCTGATTTAAATCAGCTAAAAATGTGAATGTATATGGTTTGTTTATAATACAATTTGATTAAAAAGTAATCATTAAAAAATCTGTCTAGACTAGTAGTGAGTGAGTTTCGATATCACAAACTGATTGATGTTCAATATGTAAATCATTGGATAATGTAAAAAAAATTGAATAACTTGTCTCAAGAATTAAGGATTCTCAATTTGATCCATGATAAGAGTTCGTGAATACGTATTGGTGAGTAGTAGTGTAGTGAATGAGAACACAGGTGGGGCAATCCGAAGATTGTATTTAACGAAAATTACAGAGTTACTCAGTATAAATCGGAAAACCATATCGTTAATTGTTCATTTGCAAAAAGATGCAGTTCATCCTATGGAACTGGACTGTTCCTGTTGCAAAACATCAATCGGCATTGTCACTATATCATGCGTTTCATACATAATTCCATTGTTTTCATAACTGCTTCCTTTCTTTCGATCTTCCTCCCTCATATTATGGCTACCAGACTTTACGTTGACACTCACGTTATATACTTACTTATAAGTAGTTCGCACCACAGCACCACAGTAGTACTAAACTAGAATGAAATCAATGTCAGTGAATTTTGTTTGCAGTGGTTATATAATTTGGAATGTGGAATATAAAAATATGTTGTTGATTTCATCAAATAAAATAATCATTTGACCACGACGAGGATCGAGTTATTTTACAAAGAAAAGGCTGCAGAAGCGTTCATTTGTAACCATACACCATGATTTTTATTTACGGAACTATTTCGAATTGAAAAATGAATTATTTCATTTTCAGCGATTTCTTCGTTAAATAACTTGAATTCTAGCCAATCCTTTTGGAGAATAGCTAATTTACTTAAAACAAGCTTGGATATCTTTCAGTTCAGACATCAAGATATCATATCATCTCCAACTCGATACTTTTAATGGGTCATGTTAGATGTTTTGGCAAAATAACATTTTAATACATTATTTAAAGACTTTACTAACATAATATTAAGATGTAAGTTTACAAACTCCTAATTTGTTTCACACTAAATTGAAACTACTGTTAGGTGGTGTGAGAATTTCAATGATTCACAAGCTGATACTTACTTACTTACTTATGGCTTTACCCCTTGTGGGGCGTAGGCGGCCTACCAACATTCTTCAGCCTACTCTGTTCTGGATCTTCCTTTCTAATTCCATCCAATTTGTGTTTATTCTTTCCATGTCAGCTTCCAATTCTCAGCGTAATGTGTTTTTTTGATTTTCCTCATTTTCTTTGGCTCTGAGGATTCCAGGTGATGGCTTGTCTTGTGATGAAGTTGGGTGCTTTCCTCAATATGTGTCCAATCTACCCCCTACAAATCGATACTGTCTAAGTTAAATTTTCCCAACAATTATTTTCCACACATTTTAATCATCACTGACAATTAATTGGTAGTTTTGTGGAGAGGACTGCACTGAAATATTAGTTTGAATTTATAGTTTTGTACTCGTACCAATAAATATTGAAGAAGCACTGAAAACATCAATCGATTATCATGTCAATAGATCAATACAGTAATTTTTTAAAAAAAATAACCATTCGATTTCGTGACTTGTCTTAATTAATATCAGAAATTCTTTTTATCTAAAAGATTTTTTTTTTGAATGATGTTGAAATAAAATAAACCAACGAACTAAATTCATTCATCATGACAAGAATGAAAAATAAAGGCATTGAAGAAATGAAACAACTTTGTTTTTCTGTGAAAAAAAAATTTCATTAATGATCAACTCCATTTTAATGAATACAATGAAGAAAACTATTCAGAGTTTTTCTAAAGTTATATTTTACGTAGCAAGAGTTTTATTTCATCAATTTTGTTTCGCTTAATAACTATTTGCATTACGGGGTTGTCAAGATTGTTAAGTTACACATTTTTAAAACCATGAATCGATCAATGTTAGACAACCATTAGAAACCTGGAAGCGCTGCACCACGGCCGTTTCGTCCTGGTATGGGACTCCTCAGCAGTGTGCATCCAAGACTTCTGCACCTCGCAGGATTCGAACCCAGGACCTTTGGTATTGTGAGCGAACGCATAACCATCGGAAGACGTGACCAGTGAAGTTCAACCTGTTCGGGTGTAGGCAGTGTCTACCGAAGACTGTGTATAAGGTTGCGCAACTCCGTGAATTTGATCAAGTTAGACATCAACACTGCTAGATGCCGGCCCAGTGGTCCGATGGTAAGGCGTTCGCGCACAATACCGAAGGTCCTGGGTTCGAATCCTACGGAGTGCAGGAGTACTGCAAGGACGTCGTGCAGTGCTTCCATGTTTCTAATGGTGGTTTAACATTGACCGATTCATGGTTTCAAAACTGAGTAATAACTATTTGTTTATTTATGGGTAGTATTCATTATAGATTGAATGCAGTTGCGTTGACATACTGGAAACCAGAGAGAACTATTTAGCTGTTTCATCCAAGTACAAAACTCATTAACAATCGGCATTCATGAGCCCATTTTGATGATTGAATTCAGTATCTTTAAATGTCATAATAAACACTTTATCATGTAAACAACTAAATAATTCTCCGGGATAATTTCATTTAAATTATTTACGGCATGATATTCTTGAAGTTCTTACGAGAAGTACTTACCGATTAAGTCACAAATGAAACAGGCTGGATTGGAACAGTTTTCACCAATCGA